CCCCGGCAGCTCCAGCTCCGCGGCCGGCGATGCTATCTCGCCCTGCGGGCCTGGCCGCTGGTCCGCGCTAATCTCCAGCGCCCGCTCGCTTTCTTCCCAGTCCCGCTGGAGATCGGGCTGATTGGCGTTTGATTAGGGCCGCCATCGAGGGCCTCTTTGTGAAATAGGTCCTAAATCCCCTAATTCCGTGATAAAGGAGGCATTAGCGGGCGGGAGAGAAAGGCACCGGGATGAAAGAAAGCAATCGGGGATCCTGATGGCATCGCCTGCGGCATGCCGCAGAGGAAGGTGGGAGAGCCGGCCCCGGTGGGGGTGGGAGAAGAAGGAGGGAGAAGATCTGCCAGCACAGAGGGCATCCCTAGCCCCCCACCTCCATTCCATGTCCACCTTCCATAGCCCTGAGCTGCACTCAGGACCCCTTCCCCACCTCCATCCTGGCTGCCATCTCAGCTGGATGCTGAGGGACCACATGTGCCCCACTCTCCTCTAGCCTCACTCCTGCATTTGCTGGGACTGAACCCCAAACCCACCTTGGACCTTGCTGGGCCTGCCTTTCTGTCCAAAGCCGGTGATCTTTCAGGACTAATCTGCATACCCATTCCTCCATGGCCCCTGAGGGTCCCCCACCCCACCCTTAACAGGCCCCACCCCTCCCTTTTGGCACTGACCCGCTCTGACCAGTCCGGGAAGCAGCTGGGCCTGCTCTTCAGTCTGGGAGACAGAAGTGATAGCAGCTAGCGTTGTCGGTGAGGGTGTGCGGATGGAGGAAGCCTGGGGTTTCCGGTGGAAGGCAGGTGGAGTAAGATGGTGGTGGGGGCCCCTCTCTGGAGGCCACACTGAGCCCCAGGGCGGTTGAGAGGACCCAAGCTGGCTGCCAGCTGTGCAGGTTGGAGAAGCTGACTTGGAGCCTGGACAGCTGGGGAGAGGAGGCGGAGGCCCAATGGGGCAGATGGACAGAGGTGGCAGAGTGCTAGCACTGAGGGGCCACGGGGATGGACGGCTGATCCTCTTAGCCTGAGAGTTTGAAGCAGGAAAGCATCCTGATTGGATGTGTCTGCAGAGACCATTGCCTCTGTGGCAGGCTCCCTTGGCAGAGGGTGTCGGGAGGGGAAAGTGGCCAGGAGTGGGTCAGACAGGCCATGGTGGGGGCACAGGTGGCAGGCCTCAGTGGCTGGCACAGAGAAGGGGGCCGTGCAGAGGTCCAGATGTGGACAAGAGAACCAATGAGACTCGGGGGTGGGACACAAGGGAAATAGCCAGCACTGTTGGAGGGCTGGAGGCTTAAGCAGCTCTGGGGCAGGCGAAGGCTTACCAAGCTGCGCGGGTGAGTGGGCGGACCACTTTCCTGGGCAGACAGCTGTGCATCCACCCAGGTGAACGGGAGTCTGGGTGTGCGTTTACCCAGGCTGGTAGGCGGGAGGGCGGGCCTTCCACGGAAGGGGAGAAGTAGACACTGGTGGGTGTTGCTTGGGGACTTCGTCCAGACCCCTTCAGTGCTCAGTGCATCCGTCTGCTCCTCTTGAGTGTTGGCAGCTACTGGCACAGGGCAGCTTCCATCTTGGAGCATTGTCCTGGGTGATGGAGCCGCTCACACAGGGACCCTCCAAAGCTGGAGGCAGAGCTCAGACAAGGACAGCGGAGCATGGGGCATAAAAGGCTGGTTCCACTCTAGTCAGTTTGGCTCAGTGGATAGAGCATTGGCCCAAGGACCAAAAGGTTCCAGGTTCAACTCCCGGTCAGAGCACATGCCCAGTTTGAGGGCTTGATCCCCATTTGGGGCTGTGCAAGAGGCAGCTTATTAACGGTTCTCATAATTGATGTTTCTATCTCTCCCTCTCCCTTTCTCTCTGAAATCAATAAACATATACTTAAAAACTCATTTGGAAATTCAAGAGAACAAGAACAGTAAAACCAATGTTGAAAAATAACGAAGTTGGGGAGTGCACACTTCCCTGTCTCAACTGACTGCAAGGCTACAGTGATCAAAACTGTAATACTGCCCTAACCGGTTTGCTCAGTGGAAAGAGCGTAGGCCTATGGACTCAAGGGTCCCGGGTTTGATTCTGGTCAAGGGCATGTACCTTGGTTGCAGGCACATCCCCATTGGGGAGTGTGCAAGAGGCAGCTGATCGATGTTTAAAACTCTCTTTCCCTCTCCCTTCCTCTCTGTAAAATATATTAAAAAAAAAAAAAAAAACTGCCAAAACCGGTTTGGCTCAGTGGATAGAGTGTCGGCTTGCGGATTGAAACGTCCCAGGTTCGATTCCGGTCAAGGGCATGTACCTTGGTTGCTGGCACATCCCCAGTGGGGGGGTGCAGGAGGCAGCTGATTGATGTTTCTAACTATCTCTCTCTCTTCCTCTCTGTAAAAAAAATCAATAAAATATATTTTAAAAATAAAATAAAATAAAAATAAATAAAAAGTTACCTTTAAAAAAATAAAAAAAAAAAAAAATAAAAAAAAAAAAAAAAACTGTAGCACTGCCATAAGGGGAGGCATATAGATCAATAATTAAGAATAAAGAAGTCCCTCTCATTTGTGGTCAATTGACTTGCAATTCATTTATGGAGTGCAAAAACAATACAACAGGGAAAAGAATAATCTTTTTAAAAAAATATATTTTATTGATATTTTACAGAGAGGAAAGGAGAGAGATAGAGAGCTAGAAATGTCGATGAGAGAGAAACATTAACCAGCTGCCTCTTGCACACCCCCTACCGGGGATGTGCCCACAACCAATGTACATGCCCTGGACCGGAATCGAACCTAGGACCTTTCAGTCCGCAGACCGATGCTCTACCACTGAGCCAAACCGGTTTCGGCTCTTTTTTTTTAACTAGAGGCTCCGAGCACAAATTAGTGCATCAGTTGAGTCCCTTGGCCTGGCCTGCGGGATCGGGCTGAAACCAGTTCTCAGGCATCCCCCGAGGGGTCTCATATTGCTAAAGGGCACAGGCCAGGCTGAGGGACCCCACCAATGCATGGATCAGGGCTGGGGAGGAACACGGGAGGTTGGCCAGCCTGGAAGGGACTATGGGAGGGCTCCAGGGTGTGTCCAGCCCATCTAGCTCAGTCCTGATCAGTGGACAGATCCCAGCAGCAAGTTCACCTCCTGGTCGGAGCATCTTCCCCCTGGTGGTAGTGCATAACATAGCAAACAGTAGAGCAACCTTAGCATATCATTAGCATATTGAGCTTTGATTGGTTGAACAGCCAACTGGACGACCAGACACTTAGCATATTAGGCTTTCATTATATAGGATATATTTTATTGATTTTACAGAGAGGAGCGAGGGATAGAGTTAGAAACATTGATGCGAGAGAAACATTGATCAGCTGCCTCCTGCAAGCCCTCTACTGAGGATTGAGCCCGCAACCAAGGTACATGCCCTTAACCAGAATTGAACCTGGGACCTTTCAGTCTGAAGCTCTATCCACTGAGCCAAACCGGCCAGGGCAAGAATTATATATATATATATATATATATATATATATATATATATATATATATATATAATATTTTATTGATTTTTTACAGAGATGAAGGGAGAGAAATAGAGAGTTAGAAACATTGATAAGAGAGAAACATCCATCAGCTGCCTCCTACACACCCCCTACTGGGGATGTGCCCGAAACCAAGGCACATGCCCTTGACCAGAATTAAACCTGGGACCCTTCAGTCCACTAACTGATTGATGCTCTATCACTGAGCTAAACCTGTTAGGTTAATTTTCTATTTCCTGCTCTTATGCAGGTCACAAGGTTGCTCAATTCTTGCCGCTCTGACAAGGGTCTCCTTCCCTCCATATTCCAATGGCATTTTCCTCACTTTCCTCTAGGACAGACACACTGTCAGCCTCAGCAGGTTCTCCCAGTTCCCACTCACTGCCCAGCCCCCAAACCAACACCATGTGGTTCAGGGCTTGTATAGGTTCCCCTGACCCAGGACAGAAGGCAGGGAATTTGGGGACATAGCTAGCTCCTGCCCTCACCCCTATTTCCTCCGGGAGGCTAAGACTGGGCTCTGAAGAGGGTGGGAGGTGGGACCCAAGAGTGTGGTTGGGATCTTGGCTTTGCCCATGGTGCCAGGCCCCACTTGAGGTGGAGGCCCAGTAGCGATGGGGCTAGGAGGCTGTGCAGGTGGGGTGGGAACCCCAGCCTCCTTAGCTACAGGAGGAGGGGACCCAGCCCCGCTGGCCTGACTCCAGGGTTGAGCGTAGACCTATGAACCAGGAGGTCCCGGGTTTGATTCCTGGTCAGGGCACATGCGCTGGTTGCAGCTTGATTCCCAGGGGGAGGTGTGCAGGAAGCAGCCCATTAATGATTCTCTCGTGGTGGGTGTTTCTGTCTCTCTCTTCCCCTGCCTTCCTCTCTGAAAACAATAAAAATAAAATTTTTTAAAAATAAAATAAAGCCGAAACCGGTTTGGCTCAGTGGATAGAGCGTCAGCCTGCGGACTGAAGGGTTCCGGGTTCGATTCCGGTCAAGGGCATGTACATTGGTTGCAGGCACATCCCCGGTAGAAGGTGTGCAGCAGGTGGCTGGTCGATGTTTCTCATCAACGTTTCTAGCTCTCTATCCCTCTCCCTTCCTGGGGGATGTGCCCGCAACCAATGCACATGCCCTTGACCGGAATCGAACCTGGGACCCTTTAGTCCGCAGACCAAACGCTCTATCCACTGAGCCAAACCGGTTTTGGCAATATATTTATATATTAAAGTAAAATAAAATAAAATAAAAAAGGAAGAGGGGACCCAGCGCCAGGCTCCGGGGCGGCGGGAGGCAGGGGCTTCCTCCGGGTCCCATCCCCGCGGCTGGGCGAGCCCCCGCGCGCCGTGGTGGCGGGACAGCATCTCCCGCCGCCGCTGTCGGGGATTAGCGAGCTCCGGCCACGCGGCGGGATTAGCCCGCATGGACGCGGCACCCGGCCCGGGGATTACCGCGCTCCCCCCGCCCCGACGGATATATACCCCGAGGCGGCGGCGGCGGGCCGGCCGAGATGGCTGCGGCGGGGGGCGCGGCGAGCCGCGGGGGCCCCGGGCGGCCCTGCCCCTTCTCCATCGAGCACATCCTCTCCAGTTTGCCCGAGCGAAGCCCCCCGGCCCGGGCCGCCCGCCCGCCGCCGCCGCCGGCCGGCCGCCCGAGCCCCGCGGAGCCCGGGGAGCCCGGGGCGCCCGAGGCCGCGCCCTGCGCCTGCTGCTGCTGCTGCGGCGCCCGGCGGCCCCCGGAGCCGGCCGCGCGGCTGGGTGAGTGGCCGCGGGGCGCGGGCGCGGGCGCGGGGGGCCGGGGTGACGGCGAGGTCGGTGCAGAGCGCGACGGACCCCGCCTCGGCCCCGCGCCTCACCTCGCCCTCGCCCCGCAGGCGCGCGGCTGCCGTGGCCGCTGAGGCTGGGGCCCCCGGCGCCCTCGCCCTTGGCCGCGCCGCCGGGGAGCTCGGGGGCCCTGTCCGCCCCCGGCGGCCCCGGCCCGCAGCGGCGCACGCGGCGCCACCGCACCATCTTCAGCGAGGAGCAGCTGCAGGCGCTGGAGGCGCTCTTCCTGCGGAACCAGTACCCCGACGTGGGCACGCGGGAGCGCCTGGCCGGCCGCATCCGCCTGCGCGAGGAGCGCGTGGAGGTGGGCCCCCTGCGGGGCCGCGGGCGGGCCCGGTCCGGGCGGCGGCTCCCTCCTCCTCCTGGTCCCCGAGAGTCCGCCCCGGCGCCGGGGGCGGGGGCGGGGGCGGGAGGAGGGGCGGAGGGCCCGGGGCAGCCAGGGATGGGGCGAGGGGCCGGCGGGGACAGGCTCGGGTGGGGAAATAGTCTGGGAACCAGAGGAGGGAGAGGGGAGGCTGGTTTTCCTGTGTTTTAAACTTCATGTTCCCCTGGTGGCGAGTGAGGCGCGCCTTCCAGGTCCAGATTTTGGGAAGCTCGGAAGACCCCCGAGCGGCCGGAGGGGCGCCCTGGGCGCCGCGGGGCGGAGGTGGAGGTGGGGGGTGGGAAGGGATTGGGGAGGGATGGCTGGTCCAAGTGGGAAAGGGGCTCGGACCCGGACCGGGGCCGCAGCGGCTACCCTACGCCGGCTCCGCAGCGCTGGTCCGCCCACACGCCCGGCGGGACCCCCACCCGTGGACTCCTCCTCCCAGGTTTGGTTCAAGAACCGCCGCGCCAAATGGCGACACCAGAAGCGGGCGTCCGCGGCTGCGAGGCTCCTGTCCGGAGCCAAGAAGCCACCCAAGGAGAGGTGCTGACGCGCCGCGAGCTGCTCCTCGGCTTGACCTCGGGCTGCTCGGAGCGACGGCAGTCAGCCCTGCCCGGAAACGAGTGGGGGGAGGACCCCTGCCTCTTGCCGTCGGCACAGCGTCCTGGGTCCTGGAGGTAGTGCTTGAGGTGGGAGGATCGAGCCGCCTGGAGAGGACGCCGAGGACCCAGGTGCGATCTGCTGCCCCCCTGGCCCGCGGGCTAGAGGCCTGGGGGGCAGGGGCACAGCAGGTTGGCTTCCTCACCCCTCCTCCCAGGTATGAAACCCGCCCAGAGGACAGGAGCCGCCCCCTGTGGATAGGGGACTTAAAATCCTTTCTTTCCTGGGCATGCTGGCCCCCCTCCTCATTGCACCCTGGAGGTGACCCCGAACCTGGAGGCAGGGTGGGTGGTGTCTGTGCATCCTGGGGTTGCTGCCAGTTAGCTGGAAGAGACTGCACGGGGTTCCATGTTCAGACCTTTCCTGTAAGCCTATTGCAACAACGAAAAACAAACAAGCAACTACAACTCCACAAAACACCCTGGCCGGTTTGGCTCGGTAGCTAGAGCGTTAGCCCTTGGACTGAAGAGGTTCGATGCCGGTGGAGGGCGGTAACCTCGGTTGCAGGCTCCAGACCTGGCCCTGGTCAGGAGGCAACCAATTGGTGTGTCTCTCTCACACTGATTTCTCTCTCTCTCTCTCTCTCTTTCTTTCTCTGTCTTTCCCCCTCCCTTCCACTCTCTAAAAATCCTCCGGTGAGGATAACCAACCAAACAACCAAACAAAAAGCAGTTAGGCCGAGACCGGTTTGGCTCAATGGATAGAGTGTCGGCTTGGGGACTGAAAGGTCCCGGGTTCGATTCCGGTCAAGGGCATGTCATGTACCTTGGTTGTGGGCACATCCCCAGTAGGAGGTGTGCAAGAGGCAGCTGATCGATGACTCTCTCATCGATGTTTCTAACTCTCTATCTCTCTCCCTCCTTCTCTGTACAAAATCAATAAAATATATTAAAAAAATAAATAAATACAAGCAATTAAGACATTTTCTTAAAAAAAAAAAAAAGCAGTTGAGTCCAAAGTCTGCTCTGGCTCCACTCGCACACCCCACCGGAACCTGTCCCTTCTCTCTCCTTCCCAGGGAGGGGGTGCCATCTTGTCTTGGGGAGCACAGTGAGTACTCAGTCCCTGCCCCAGGGTGCCCCTCAGCAGAGCACACTGCCCTAGCAGTACTGGTCTGGCACCTTGGAGGCCTGCATTGGCCTCTCCTGCTGCTTCATGGAAAAGTGGGGGGAGGGTCCTTCTTCGCTTCCTCTCTGGGGGGCAGATTTCCATGTTGGGGTGTCTGCCTCCCTCGCAGCAATCTCTGTCACCCTGTAGGACAAGAGGAGGCTCAGTGGGGGAGACCTATCACACACACATTGCCTTGAAAACATCTGCTTTCCCTTCCATCATCCTGCCCCCTCGCCGAAGGACAGTGTGGAAATATGACTTCAGCTCCCACGTAGACCCAAACAGTGGGCCCAAGGAACCTAACACCCACTCCTCTGGCTTGAGGACCTTGCTCTGCCCCCTCACAGGTCCTGGGGGGAGTTTGGGAGGAATATCTGGCAGGAGACACGGTTTACTTTCCTTAAAAGTCACAGAAGGTTTGGCTCAGTGGATTGAGCGTTGGCCTGCGGACTAAAGGGTCCTGAGTTTGATTCCAGTCAAGGGCATGTGCCTTGGTAGCGGGCACATCCCCAGTGGGGGAGGTGGGGGTGTGGGAGGCAGCTGATCGGCGTTTCTCTCATCATTGATGTTTCTGGCTCTCTATCCCTCTCCCTTCCTCTCTGTTAAAAATTTTAGGGAAAAAAAAAAAAAAGTCACAGAAGTCAGGGCTGCAGCTCTTGGGATTGTCCAAGGCTGGCCAGCTCAGATGGCTCCCCGCAGGCATGGTGTGCCCAGCCAGGGCTGCCCTCAGACTGCCGGTGCCGCCAAGACAGCAGCTGCTGCCTCACCCCCCAGGATGCAACTCTGGCTGTCACCAGGCTCTTTTCCCTGAGTCCTGGCCTTATGCTTGGCCACTGCACCGTCAGCCCGTGGAGCTCCCCTGCAGGCTGGGACACTCGCATCTCGCTGGGTTCCTGGACCTTTGCCCTCCTTGGCTGCGTGGTTATTTGTCTTTGTGCGGGGCGGCCAGGATGAGAGTTCCATCTGTAAGGGACGGTGGCTGTGTTGCCCTTTCGGTTTTTCTCCTTTCTCTCTAGCGGCTCTTGGGCAGGCTCACCTCCACAGCTGGCTGTTAACATAGTAGGTATCCTTGAGCTGCGTCTCAGGCACCCTCCTCTCATCTCCATTCTCACCCTGGTCTCTCTCTCCCATTCTCAGCTGCCACATTTACATACCCAGCCCAGGCCCCTCCCCAGAACTATAATAGATATTGATGGCCAAGTGTCCCTTTGACTCCTTTACCTGGAAGCCCACAGGCCCATCTTGTCCTCCGGAGGTGAACTCCTCCCCCGTACACACCAGGTGCATGACCCAAAGGGCAGGCGATTACCCTACCCCGCCTCTGCCTCTCCCTCGCCAACCACACAAGCAACAGCAAGTCAGCATCTCAACTTCCAAAAACAATCCCAGAACCTACCTTCTCCTCAGCATCAGTTGCACCAATCTGATGAAAACCTCCATCATCTCTCACCTTGACCGATGCAGTCACCTTCAGTCTTGTCACCTCTGTCCACGCTGGTTCCTTTTTAATTTATTCTGCATAAATCTGCAAGTCTGAACCTGCCTCTCCCCTGACAACAGCACTCCGAGGGCTTCCCATTGCCCCATGACCCACAAGCTTCCATCGATTGCAGCCTGGCCTGCCTCTCTGGCATCGTCTCACACCTCACTGCTCCTTGTACTCTGCATGTCCAAAGGTCTTCTCCCTCCTGCTGCTCTCTGCCTAAGCTTTTCCCTCTCCACCTGATTAAAGCCTGTTCGACATTCGGATCAACCCCTGCCCTGGAAAACTTCCCCTGACTTGGAGATTACTCAACTACAAACTCTTTCCTTGCTCCTGTCAACTGCAGTTCTAAACTTGTTTGTGGGGTGACCTAACCAGAGTCTGTCTTCCTCATTGGACTGTTAGCTCTGTGAGGGCAAGAACCATCAACATGGAATCTCCAGTGAATAAAGGAATGACTGCTGTACTATTTATTGTACTAAATCATTTTGGGATAACACTTTCTTGACATTAATTCTCAACCTCCTTTTGAGAAGTGATCAGTCTGCAAAATGCTTAGTAGGCAATTTTCTGGTCCACTTCAGTGAGAATTAACCCTCTTCTGGGGGCCTACTGGCATTTAGGGACCTGATATTCTTTAAAAAAATTTTCTTTTTTTCTTCCCCCATTGTCCTCTTCCCCCACCCCCAAGGACCTGAACACTTTTAACCAGATGTTTCTATATTGAACTACCATATTTTGCTTTCTTTTTTCTTTTGTTAGTTAGCTATCAAGAAAGAATTGTCTTAGCTGAAACCGGTTTGACTCAGTGGATAGAGCGTTGGCCTGCAGACTGAAAGGTCCCAGGTTCGATTCCGGTCAGGGGCATGTGCCTTGGTTGCAGGTGCATCCCCCGTGAGGGGTGTGCAGGAGGCAGCTGATGGATGATTCTCATCGATATTTCTAATTCTCTCTGTAAAAAATCAATAAAATATATTACAAAAAAGAAAGAATTGTCTTGCATAAAAATTTTAATAAAAGCTTTGAAACGTGTATATAACCAAAATCCTTGAAGTATGTATTTTTGTTGATGATATGGAAGCATATGCAGTGATTATTTGCCAAAAATTGGGAAGCCCAAGGCCTTACTTAAATGCAGGAACGTCTCACGGTTAGAGTGAATGACACACAAAAAAATAAAAATTAAAAAAAAAAAAGTGACACACCCCTTAACTCCACCACCACCACCACAGCGCCGCCTAGTGCCCACCCCTCGGGTACATAATATAGCGAGGGGTAAGGAGAAGACTACAATTCCCATAAGGGCGAGGGCTTGTAGTGACGTCATAGCAGAGCGCGGTCGGCCTCCGAAACGCACAGCTCTCCCATTGGCCAACCGTGCAGCCAGTACAGCCCCGCCCCTCTGACGCGGTGACGCGCCTTCTGAGCAGCCCTGGGATAGCGATGGAGACGCCCAGCGCGTCTCCCCGCGCCCTGCTGCTTCCCACCGCGTCGGGGCCCGGGAGAAAGCGGGCGGCTGGGGAGGCCGGGGCTGTGGCGAGGAAGCAGAAGGTCTTGGACGAGGAGGAGTACATCGAGGTAAGACCTCGGTGCGGACGCCAGCGACTTCTGGGCCCTCCTGGGTCCTCCCCTGCCACCCTCGCGCGCCTCTGGGGTCCCTCCTCACGGGCTGAGGCGCTCTCCTCCTCTCGCAGAGGCGAAGCAGCCCGAGTCCCTTGGCCTTGGGGTTTGGACGGCACGGGAGCCAAATAAACACAGTGCAGAAGGGGCTGGGTGTCCTTGATGGAGGAAGCAGAGTTGTAGGTGAGAGAGGAGGCAGTTCTGCTCGTATGTGTGGCGGATCCGGGAAACAAGGTTTTCTGTTAAAGCACGAGTGAGAGTTTGGAAGGCTAATGGCAAAGAGGACTTTTTAGAGAGCGGTAATAGCAAGTGCAAAGGCCGGGAGTCCTGCGATTGAGGCAGCATCTTGAAATCCTGCCGCAAACAGGCAGCAGGAGGAGATTGGCGGGGGCCGGTTTGGTGTGGGGCCGGTTCAGTTTGGGAGGCTTCTAGGCTGTACAGACAGGGGGCGTCAGTGGACAGCTGGGTGCACAAATGGTCAGCCGAGGAGCAAGGTCTGGCTGGAGGTGCAGAGTTGGGGGATCACAATTCGTGCGGGTGGTGGGGGGTGAGAGGCTGAAGTCATCCAGGGAAAGGAAGACCCAGAAGTCACTGGCGTCTGCACCGGGGTCTTACATTGGAAATAGGAGTGAAGGTGGCAATCTGCCTTCTCCCCAGCTTCAACTGCACCAACCTGA